TTTGGTGAGTCTCTCTGGCTCTCTCTTTGGAGATGTAACCAACGGTAAACAACGGGGAATTGAGCAGGAAAAACAGGGAGGAAGAAGCGGAAGGGTGGGATGTGATCGGCTTGCAAACACAAAGAGTAGGAGGACGCTACCGACGATAGGCAAGAGGCCAAGACGAAGAGTGGGAAGAGCAGGAGGGAAATGGGGGGCCCAAGGAGGAAGAATGAATGAGCAGAAGGGACAGGCGGGATGCAAAGATCACAAGCAGGAAGAATAGGGAAAAGATGAACAGAGGGCAGAAAGCGGAGGGGAGGAAGGAGGAACGGAGAGGAGGCATAGGAGGGATGCAAAGACGACAGGCAGGAAACAGAGGAGGAAGGAAGGAAGGAAGAAGGGGGAGGAGGCATAGGTGGGATGCAAAGACGACAAACAGGAAGAACAGGGAGGATATGAACAGAGGGGCAGAAGCAGAAGGGTGACAATGCTAAACGCGATGCAAAGACAAAGAGCGGGGAGCAGGGAAAAAATGGAGGGAGAGCAAAAAGCTGAAGGGGGGAAACACAGGTGCGATCGGCAAGTACGCAATATGCAAAGACAAAGAGCAGGAAGAGCGGGGAGGAGATGGAGGAAGGGGGAGAAGCGATGCAAAGGAGAAACGAAAAAAGGGGAGGAAGGAGAAGGACGGTGGCGATGATAGACAGGATACATCCAGGGATGTGGTCGGCAAGTAACAAAGAGCGGGAGGGGGAGAAGCAGGAAACGTGCACCAGCGCTGTTGTACCTCTCCTCTCTCCCCCCACCCTCCTCTCCTCCCCCCAAGCCGTCTCGGTATAGCCTAGCTATGTGGGTTCAATTTCTTGTTTTGTTTTTCTTTTTTTGGCCTATTCGATGCATCCACAAAATAGAAAAGAAAATATGTATGGTCAAGTGCCTTTTTTTGCATACAAAGACGACATCGCATGATTTTCCTGCTCTGCAGCCGGCTCAACAATTCCACAAGGAGATGGAGGAAGGGGGAGAATCGATGCAAGGAGAAATGAAAAAGGGGGAGGAAGGAGAAGGACGATGGCGATGATAGACAGGATACATCCAGGGATGTGGTCGGCAAGTAACAAAGAGCGGGAGGGGGAGAAGCAGGAAACGTGCACCAGCTCTGTTGTACCTCTCCTCTCTCTCCCCACCCTCCTCCCCTCCCCCCAAGTCTCGGTATAGCCTAGCTATGTGGGTTCGATTTCTTGTTTTTTTTTTTTTTTTGGGCCTATTCGATGCATCCACAAAATAGAAAAGAAAATATGTATGGTCAAGTGCCTTTTTTTGCATACGAAGACGACATTGCACGATTTTCCTGCTCTGCAGCTGGCTCAACAATTCCGCAGCTTCGACATCTACTGTTCCCGGCTCAGCCCTGCAGTATGATCCTCTGTTTGTGAGGCTGTCGTTTGTGAAGGCACTGTCCTGAACTCTTAAAACTTCTCATCATTTGTAATGACTTCTCTTTGTGGAGCTTTCATTTGCAGAGGTGTTTATGCACATGCACCTTTCTGAAGCTTTAATTTGTGAAGGCACGAGCCTGAACTGCTATCCTCTGTTTCTTCCAGATTCTCGCTTGAATTCTCAACGTTTCACTGGTAAGGCGCCCCCCCCTCCTTTTCCGGCGCGAAGCCACATTCTGGCATGTATTGTGAATGATCATTCTGGCTCGAATTCTGGAGGTTTTTTTTTTGTGAAAACATGACCCCCTACCCTGTTCCTCCGCGCTCTCGCCCTGTCCGCGCTTGACGGGTTCCCTTGTTCCTTTTTATCATTTCTGTGGGCGTAGCCCCACGGGCTATACTTGCAGATTTCATAAGCGTGTACGTATTCGACAGTACAGTACACACCTTTGGATATTTATGCTGCCATTGTGTTTGTACCTTTGTCCGGCCTTCCTCCCTCTTGCCACCTCGCTGGCATGACGGCGCTTGATCAGTATGTATGCATTGGGACCTGGATCAGTAACCCCGCTGCTTTTGAGTGCACTCTTCGGAACCACTTGGTGACGTTAGTGAAAGGGTATGTGCAGCCCCCATTACTGGCTTGATTGATTGACATGACTGATATAGATTGATTGACTTATTGTGGGTTGATTGATCAGTTGTTTGATGGGGAAACAAAGGAGAAAGAAAAAGGAAAAGGAGTCTGAAAAGTGTTACATGCTGCGCTTGCAGACGAGGGCCATTTTCCAGGCCCTGCGTCCCTCAGGCTGAAAGCCTGAAAACCAGGACCTACAGGCCCCGTGTCTGTTCGGCTCGAAAGCCTGAAAAACAGGGGCCTACAGACCCTGTGTCGTTTCAGACTAAAAATGGCAGTAGCGTTTTTAGCCTGAAACGAAGGGCCATTTTCGGTCCTTCATCGGACCGACCTGCCCTAAAACTCAGGCACCAAACCAGGGTTTTAGGAACAGGCTATTTTTGGCCTGTTCCCACAACAGCTGCAGCGCCAGACCCTGGCTCAGTTTGGCATTGGCAAGAGCAGCCTCCTGGACGGCCTGCTCTGCAACTGCAGGCAGTCGGAGGCAGTCAGGAGGCAGGCCGAGGTAGTACATAGGGACTTCCCATGCACTTCACGGGCAGGCAGGAGGCAGTCAGTAGTCTTCAGGATTCGGCAGCAGCACTCTGGAGGAGCGCTGCAGGAGTAATTGTAGCGTTAGCAGTAGTCTTCAGTTCTGGGTGCTAGTAGCGTTAGTTGTAGTCTTCAGCGCTGGGCGCCATAGCTAGAGTAGTACTAGAGAGAGAGAGATTGGGCGGAGGCCAGGGATACTTACCTGCAGCGCCGTTGCTCCAGCTTTGTCTTCGAGGTACCTGCAGCACAGCACCATCTTCACAGGTTAGTACCTGACACATGAGAGAGAGAGTTCTCCTTCTTCCTCTTCTCAGTCCACCGTCTCCTTCTCACCCTCTCGCTATCTGACTTCACTGCATCAGCAGACTACAAGAGAGAGAGAGAGAGAGAGAGAGAGAGAGAGAGAGAGAGAGAGAGAGAGAGAGAGAGAGAGAGAGAGCTTGGTGACATTTGGATCCAGACTCGACATTGGACTTCAGACATWTTGAAGAGGGATTATTTGGGACTTGTAACGAGGCTTGGTGTTGACGACTTTCCCATCTCCCCCCCTCCTCTTTCCTGTGTATAGCGCCAGGCCCCTTCACGCCGTGTGATGAGCATGATGTATGTTTGGTCTGCGTTGAAACATTGATTGGGCTAGTCATTAGTATTCTAGCATCCTGCTTCGCTATCTTGTACTATGTAAAAGAGGTCAGTCCCGGTCAGGTCAGGACGTGTATCAAAAGTCTTCCCTGCACTATAAAGCACCATTTTGTATGTATCGGAATGCACATTGCTTGTTCAGATTCCACTTGCACTGCATTGTCCATTCAGTCCTTTTTATCACATTGCGGATCCTCGGTTTGTATGTACATTGCCCAACTGGCATGTAACAAAAGTGAGAAAGAAAAAGAAACCAACCATAATATTTTGTCATCGTTGGAATTTTGAGGATCTGCTGATGCAAAGGACGACTCCACAGTTATCGTATTTCAGCCCTGTGAAGAGTGGGTGGTGTCTGATGGGAAAACAGAGGGAAACAGAAAAAAGAAAAGGAGGCCAAAAGGTGGGATAGAAAAGAAACCAACCGGAATATTTTAACATCGATGGAATTTTGTGGATCTGCCGGTGATAACTGACTCATTATTTTGTCTGTGATGTGATTCTTAGGGAAGACTTAACCATGCAGAAGCTGCGGACCACTCTGTGGGCAGGGTTCTGCACTGTTAGAAGAGTTATCGTTGGTTGCAGCAACGTCCACGGCAGGGTTGTTGCATTACAAATGCGACCCAACACGCTATGTTATCCCCAAAGGGTGTGTGCACGGTGATCGTGTTCCCTACACGTGGCGGGATGGTGAGTACGTTTCCCTCAGCAAGGCCGTTTTGTGTCAGAACGTGTCGAAGTGGAGCCCCTATGTTGGTGATCGTTTGGAAAGACCATGGATTGGCTGCCTTGTTCCTCTGAGCACAAGCTGAGTAATAGGGATCCCAGTGGCTGCTAGCAGTGTCTGTTGTCTCTGTATTCTGTTGGCTATGTATTTGCAAATCCACCACATTCGCTATATTTATAATTCAGCCATATTGGGTATGTATTTGCAAATCGGCCATATTGGCTATGCATTTGCAAATCAGCCATAGCCTGAGGTTAATGCGCGGCTGTTTGTGAAACCTCCAAAGTCCCCCAACCATAATAACCATTAAGGATTGTGTTCCACGGACTTGAGAATTTCTTTAACTTAAACCACCAGTCTATCCACCCTGTCGCTGTAGACTTTTCGCATGAACGACTATCGTAGCTAAATCTACAGTTACAAGGCATGACTTGTAGGTAAATCTACAGTGACAAAGCACGACTTCGGTTCAGAGGGGCTGGGCCAACGGGCCCCTGACAGTTTGAAATGGCCTACAGGGTGGGCGGGTCAGTGCATGTGAAAACGTGCTGCCCGCTTCAGGGAAGCCCTGAACACAGTCCACCCTCATTATGGCTGTACCGTACCGGAAGGATACCTTGTATACATTTGTTATCACGATGTGTTGTGTTTGGGTGAAGATAGCGCAATGGCGCTCGACACTGCCGTCTTTACTCAGATATATATATATATATATATATATATATATATATATATATATATATATGTCCTGTTCTCCGTCTCTGCCTACGGTTTACCGGGCAGTTCTATTTGACGATATATATATACTTAGAGAAAGAGAAATGATCTATGACTTATTTGAATCAGCTACAGGCATGCGAATGATGCATAATTATTTTCGTACTGGAGGAGTAGCTGTTGATCTTCCTTATGGATGGATAGATAAATTTTTATATATATATATACACAGAGAGAGAGAGAGAGAGAGAGAGAGAGAGAGAGAGAGAGAGAGAGAGAGAGAGAGAGAGAGAGAGAGAGAGAGCCTCTCTCTCTCTCCCCACACTACCGTTTTTCCCTGGACACAACGCACCCTCATTTTGGCTGCAAGGAACCCGAAATATGGATTGTGAGCCTTGTATACATTTGTTATCAGGGTGCATTGTGTTTGGGGGAAGATGGTGGCGTGTGCTCTCTCTCTGTTACATACTGATGCCACACGGGTTCCTTTCGAACCCGACCACTAGACTAAGGGGTACTTAGGCCGGCCCAGCCAAAGGCCGGACCTTTCTCCCAGCAGGCCGCATTGAGGCCACCGGTCGGTTTTCCTGCAGCAGACCAGGTATAGGCCCAAACGACATTACCGTTGGGCCTGGCGATGCCCTTGAGGCTGCCGCCCGCTGGTCTGATCTGAATCGTCAATCTTGACGATTCAGATCACGGCGCACTGAAGCAGCATTGGGGCCGACCGGCCGCCGACCGGTACTTAGGCCGGTCCAGTGGCCTTTCCAGGCATCTTGGAGAAGCGGCACTGGGGAGCGACCGCGCTGCACTATTCTGGTTTCAGCACAGCGCTGGGAACTGCCGCGCTAAGTTCAGCGCACTGCAGTAGGGAGGAGCGAGGAGGGAGACTTACCTGACAGCAGCCACGAGCGCCATAGCTCCCAGCAGCACAGCCGTCTCCCGCAGCAGCCAAGGCGCCACCTTGTACCATCAAGTAGGGCCTGGAGCTACTCGCCATCTCTGCCAATGCTCTGTCCCTCTCCTCTTCTTCTCCTTCAGACTTCTTGTTCTTCTTCTTCTTCATACTTCTTCTTCTTCTTCTTCTTCTTCTTCTTCTTCTTCTTCTTCTTCAGACTGGAGACTTTTGATACGAGTTGGACAGAGATCAGTGATTGGACTTCGGTGGTAGGAGGCTGTGATACTTACCGGATTYGAGACATTGGAGACAGTTGGGATTGATACCTGGCGGCATCACAGATCGGACCTCGGTTACATACTGTACCTCCGACATTGGTGACTTACGTCCACGACATTCCGACTTTGTTCGGTGACATTTTGGGCTACCATATCGGTGACCTTCTGGATTCTATCTCGGTGACATCTGGCGCTGCCCATATCTTCCCCCTCCATCGTCTCTCCTCCCACCATTCATCCGTGTATGGTTGTACGGGTGAAGCATCGTCTATGTATGGCTTCAGACCCCATCATCTCACGATTGCTGGTGTGTCGAGTGATGTTTGGGTGAGTTCAGTCTATGTGAGTCAGTCCATTTCCCAGACTTCCGCTGTATACATGCTCATCCTATATTGGTTGATCTTTGGTTCTGCCCATACTTGGTGAAGTATTCATTAGTATGCAACACTCTCTCTCACAACCCCCCTCCTCCCCTCCTTGCACAACCGTCTTACTGACTGACATTTTGGCTGCACTGGACCAGAAAGATAGCTTGTACACATTCGTTATCAGGGTGCGATAGCCATTTTGGCTGCACCGGAACGGAGAGATAGCTTGTATACATTCGTTATCAGGGTGCATTGTGTTCGAGGAAAGACGGCAGCACGCTGTCGCACTTTTTCTAGTCGGGCCTCTACAGGCGACCAGAAAGCCAACAGGCTGTCACGCATGATTTTGTAGTTGTTTGTAATAAATAAAATAAAATAAAATAAATTAAATGAGCAAATCCCTTCCTGTTGTGTGCGTCCTGCTTCGAGCGAGACCCTTCGATTGCGGTCTTCGCCGGTCCCCGGTCTTAGGAATCTTCTATGTTGATTCGGAACAGCAAAGAATCATGTAGTTGATAATCATAAATTCTGATATGTCATGCATGCATCAATTTTGCCAATTTCCTAATTTTGAGAACTGTGATAGAATTATCAAAGAATGCAATCATCAGCAAGGACAATGCAAGAAGCAAGACTGACTGACTCGAGCAAAGACAAGGGTAAATGAGGGAAGAATGAGAACTTATAATAGTCTCAGAGGGTACACATGCAGAGAGCACTACCGACACTAGTCAAGAGTTCTCACTCATCCCTCTGAATCTCACACTCTCTCTTATTTTGCTGCATGTCTCTTGTGCTTTCGGCCAAGTCTCCGTACCCTCTGAGGTTGTGGTTTCTCAATGTAGAGCCACCTGAAACCTGCTAGTTCTGAGCATCTCCGTCCAAGTCCCATGATATGAAACCATAGCACAAAATTCTTCCCATAGAGTAGGAAGGTATGGCTGAGAGAAAATCCCTCGTCTGAGATACCGAAACTCAGAGGGTTCTGTAAATGCCTCGTAATCGATCACTGCAGGGGAAATGTACCTCTTGGCTAGTTCTACCAAGTCTCCCCAACAAGAACCGTCAGTGAGAAGGAAGGGAACTGGAGGTCTGGGATAGTCAGAGTAGAGTTTCGGCCCGAAGCTACGGATCAACTTTGTCCCACCCTCATCGAGCTCTCTTTCTCTCTCCTCGAGATACCTGGCTGCTGCAATCCAGACTGAATCGAAGTGCTCATGGGTCTCTTTCCCTTTCTTTACATAGGGTCTCAGGTCATGAATGGTTCCCTCAGCGAACTCTGTGTGAACCACAAAGATAGATAGTTCATCTCGCTTGAAACCAGTTGCACCGACATACCGATACTGGAAGGCATCCTTGAGGGCGATCTGATTGAGGTTGGCCAGGACCAACTCACTGACGGGACAAGACTGAACTGTACTCGTGTGCAAAGCAGATGTTGAAAACGATCCAATGGCTCGAGTAGAGAGCACTTCTGGTTGATGCCCATCTTTGACGGATTGATTCTGGCTGAAAGTTTCGAGTAACTCAGGTGGCTGAATTTTGATTGGTGGATAATTGAATGTCTGCTTGAATGCCGACTAAGTGCTGAATGATAGATGGCCAAATGCTGCAGGGGTAATACACCTCCGGACACTGATCACATAGGGATGAAATGCTGATGAGCCTGTTGATAGTCGGATGCCGTCATAAGCTTGAAATGTTGATAGGAAAAACTTCAATATCTTTGTGCTCACTTGAGTCTTATCTGACCCTGCTCCACTGTCTCTCGGAATGAGCCTGCTCCACTGTCTCTAGGAATGAGCATGTGCCATGCAGCTTACCGTCACAACCATGAAAGTAGAATATGTATTCCACATACCTCTCTTCCTTGACTATCCGGACTGCATGTTCTCACAGAATCTGCCTATAAGAATCCATGTCTCGACATGCCTCTTCCTCCCATCCTTCCACTACATCTCGGTAATCTGCATAGGACATCACCAGGGTATCACTGTTATGCATGATTCCCAAGGAAAGACACATGAGTTCTGCTAATCGTAGTGTTAGAGTAAAGCAGGGAAGGGCTTGTTAGGCTCCAACTGTTTTGTTGTAGGTGAACATCACTAAGGTTCCCCGTTTGGGCTGTTTGCACGCCATATGTCCTCGACCAATAAGAACCAAGGTTATATAGCTTCCTTTTGCTTGCTGTTTGTGTGCTCCGGACCATTGACCTCGTCTCCGCCTTATCTCGCTCTGCTTGCGTGCAGCACAAAGGCGTCACTAGAACTAGCGCTCAAGTTCAATCGTGGCTTGGTCAGTGCATCTCTTCCCCGCTGTAATATAGGGTCTCCTAGTGGCGCTCGTTCTGAGTCGTGACACCGGATGTCTTAGGCAGCAGGACTTTATTTGACGAAACACAAGATGTTTTGCAGTGTCATTCACTAGAGAATGAGCAGAACTTCCTTTCTGGAGCTCTCATGTCCTGATCTCGATAACAGACTGGAACGACATAATTGTATAGATAGCTCTTACAATCTTGATTTTAATGATGACCCACACGCTTGATTGAGATCTTTCCTCTTGTCACACGAGAACCCTTTCGTTTGTTTGCTCTCTTTCGTCCTATTACATAAATTAGCTATGGAATGTTTTTCCCTCGCTTCCCTTAGTTCGTCCTCTTGAGTTAGGATGTCTGTGACTCAGAGGGTCGCGGGCGGTTG